AGCTATGAAAGGCAATGAGATTGCTATGCAGCAAATGGCTTTATTAAAGAACGCACTTGATCAACGTCAGGCAGCTGATAATTACCTAGAAAACAAAAAAAAGAAGTGCCTAGACAGTTTATTCAGGATGGAGGCAGTTTAACTACTGATACAGCACATTAAATAATCGGCGAGAAGGAGGCAGAGATTCAGGCCGAAGCCCAGGCACCCAGGCAGCGAAGGCCCCCACATGCAGTAATTGCAATATTCAGGGCCATAATTGATTAAAATGCCCTTCTAGATAGTACTACACTTATTCTTTTATAATATATTTCATTTGTATGTTGATAAAGACTTCAAGATTATCCGGTTATGTTATAGTGCGCTCCAGCAACCTGATGTTCCGTTACATTTCTTTTTGATTTTTTTTGCGTCTATCCCCAACAAAGTTCACCTTTATAGGTCACATGTAGTGAAAGGAACACTGCACCCCTTCTATATACATGTTGCAGGAAGCATAGCTGATGTAGGATATAATTCCAATTGCAGTGCTCCTTTCCGTCGTAACTACTTCCAAACTCTAACGACATCTTCTCTCCAACACTGACAAATCTACAGAGAATATCTCAACAAGAGCCGGCAGTTTGCTTACAGCAATATGGGAAATGAAAGCCTCACAAGGCAGGTAAATGGCCTTCTCAACGATATGCTCCGCAACCGAGACCCAAAGTATAGGCTATCCAATGTTAGGAGTAGCGAATATGACACCGCCTGGGTTTCTATGGTCAGGACGAAGGACGGTACCTCGGAATGGGCATTTCCCCAATGTTTCGACGCCTTACTTGATAGCCAATCTCAGGATGGAGGTTGGGGAAATCCTTTTGGGATATTGAACGAATATGCTGTACGCTCGTAGCTCTCCTTGCTATTATAAAGCGTATCAAGGAGTCAAGGCATCTAGCATAAAGCAAGCTTGATATATTTCACGAGCGTGCTTCTCGGGCTATTGTATTTATCAAATCCTCCCTGCCACGTTGGAATATCGATATCACGGATAATACCTTGCCTACTGGATTCGAGCTCTGGCTTCCGACTATATTGGAACAACTTGAAAAGGAAAATGTTGTCTTTGGTATGCCTGAGAGAAGTCGTATTGAAAGTATCAGAGGAGAAAAATTATCTAAATTCCCTATTGAAGATCTATATGGGTTGCAGCAACTGTCCTCATTATTCTTATTGGAGGGGTTTATCGGGATTGTGGACTTTAGCAGGTTATCCCATTTAAGGATAATAGGGTCTATGTTTTCCTCCCCGGCATCCACTGCTGTATATTTAATGGAAAATCCATCATGGGATAAAGAGGCTGCATCGTATCTACAACATGTCATCGATCAGTCGATCGGAAAAGGTCTCAGCGGCGTTCCCACTACGTCTCCCACGACCATATTTGAGATAGCGTGGGTGAGTCTAGTACTCTAAGAATATCTAAACAATGCTTACATTTCAGGTCCTCGACACTTTACTTGCTTTTGGATTTTCGACCGAGTGTCTTGACTCGAAGCCATTGAATAACATGAAGTGTATATGGAGTGTATTCTTGAGCAATGCGTGGAGAAAGGCAACGGTCTGACTAGCTTCGGTAAGCATGTGTATATCTGTTGTGGGCTCCAAGGTAATTACAGTAACACTGCTCAGCGGAAGGATTTTGCGTGGACCCAGATGACACTGTTCGAACTTTCACATGCCTCCACTTAATGGGCGTTTCTTGCTCCCCAAATGCATTAATTACACATTTTAAAGCGGCGGAGCATTTCGAAACATATGCTCGGGAGCGAAACCCCAGTATTACAGTGAATGCACATATGCTGCAGTGTTTATGCCACCTATCAAGTAATGGAGACTATTACAATTCGATTGAGAAATACATACGGTATATTTGCAAGTCTTGGTGGGAAACAGATGGCTTGGTGTATGACAAATGGGTAAGGCATTAAAGAATAAATAAACCTGGCGCCTTTGGTTGACACAAAACAGAATCTTTCGCCGTATTATGCTATGATGTCGATATCCGAATGTCTTGCACAATATCTATCGTCATATGATCAAGGTCACGTTAAGGCTTTGCCTGACGACCTTCTGTACTTCCAGCTACCAATGGTCCTTTTCCAAACGTTATCCCGCACACTTTTAACCCAGAAACCTGACGGCTCCCGGGGTTCACAAAATTCCAAAGAGGAGACAGCTTATGCTGTATTGACTGTTCGAGTTACAATGTCCCTGTGTCCGGAAGCTATTCAAGAAATATATAAAGAAGCCATTGTAAAGGCACGAGCTTTTATCTTGTCCGCCCGGAGCCCGTGTATAGTAACCATCTCTAGATATCTAAGACAAGTTACAGCCTTTTATCAATCTCTCGTGCATACATTCTTAGTGTCCTGAATATCTGTCCGTTGCGCAAAGACAGGCCTGCGGCTCGAAGAGTCATAGCACCGCTTTCAAACCAGATGTTAAAACATGTTGAACTATTTTCAAACCTACCTTTATTCTCGTCAACTCCTAGCTGGATTACCCATGCTTCCGCTATTAAGAGCCAGTTGTTACTTCAACGAGCATCCAAGATTGATATTTTTGACGGACGAGTGCCTATGGCAGAGTCAACCCTCAACACTTTAATACTCTCATTAACTTCCCTATACAATTGCTCGATGCTTTGTTGGGCTGGGTACCAAATTCTACATAGTTTGGCTGAATTCTTTGTTATCGGCCAGCAACTCGAAACTCATGCAGACAAGGTACTCCGCTGGCAAGGGAAGACGATGCAACAATTGTATCAGAAGATAGTGTGCGAGATCTTCGCAGAAATCAGTACTGGCTGTCCACATTCCCAGCCCTGCAGATTCCCCTTCAAGCAGCCGAATAGCCAGAGGCAAGATGAGGCAAATGAAGTGGACTGGAACGATGCGCAGGCACAACTCCGCAAGGCTATCCAAGCATGGAAATGCCTGGCCACTTCACGTATACAACGTGCTAATGAATATGATCAGAGGACCCTCTTTATAGAGATGAGGTGCCATGTGCTTGCTGGTTGTTCCCATGCACAAGTCTCTACTCGAGTCTTTGATCAACGCCAGCAAGTCTCTGCTCTGGGGCGAGTGTTCTGGAAGGAAGGCCTCACCTTTCACAAGTGGGCGCAAGGACAGGGAGCAGATAATGTTGGTTCATCGATCGTGCTTATGTTCATACTCTGCCAAGTCAGCAATGGAAGGGATTTCTTCCCAACGGTCACGGAGAAATATATACTCCAGGATTGGCTTCGACGGAAGGCGTCGAGACACGCCTGCGTAACGACTTGGGAAGTGTTGAACGCGACAAAGTAGAGAAAAATCTGAATGTGTTAAACTTTCCTAAGTTCATATCTGGGCCAGCTTAAATTGAAAATCTTATGAGGCTACACCTCTCAAAGCTGGCTGATTTCGAAATGGAAATGGCTGACATTTCTTTCGCGAAACTTGAGGCTGCCTTGTCTATCAAGAGGCTACGATCAGCAACTGCTTCTTTGGCCTCATATCGCGGATATTCGAGTTCCACAATGATTTGTTGGCAGCTGGAAAGTCCTATGGTAGCTAAACATCTTTTGCTAAGGTAAAATGCAATAGCCCATCTGGTTAGTACAGATAGTGATAGGTAGCCAGAAAATGAAGATTTAACCAGTCATGCTAAATATAAGATGCACCTTTACTACTCGGTAGGAGAGTACCCTGATGACCAGTAATTTAAACATTGTTTGCTTCTAATCCATTGAAGGCTGATTTTGTTCCTGAATTTTTTAAATGGAGGATGGTCCGGTCGGCCCTCGAAGGTTGACCTTTCTCATAAGGTCTACATTTCTCGCCAATATTTGGACTGGCCTCCCTAGCAGAGGGCGTGTCGTTCGGACGCTCTGCATCATGGCGGCCCGCTCAATCAGATTTCCCGCGTAATCTCCAGGGCTTGCTGGCTGGCGTCCTCAACAATATTTTCGTTAGACTGAATGGCTTCAGCACAAGGTCCACCTCGGGGTCCTCCAACAAACCTGGTGACAGCGACGGAGAGGTACAAGCAGCTCATATTTATGCAATCTCTAGAGCTTCAAAAATAATGATCAAAATGCGATGAAAATGATCAATCATTTTAACATTGTTACGGAAACACTGAAATCCGCCCGACTTGGCGGTGCGGAGTATCTGACGATCGATTCAACCCCTGAATCCTTTAGTTAGTTGAGCACCCAGATAGGAATGCGAGAGACTCAGTTGGTTGAGATACTGTGATTCCTGGTGTTTCCACTGAATGACATCTACTTCCTAATTAGGCTAGTTGGACTGTAGCTGATAGAATAGCTCCCTGCGCATCACTTCCCTGAGTTCCACAACAAACATAAAAGGCAATTATGTTGAATAATTGACTGATAAGTTATTTTAGTCAACTTCTGTGGCCACAGTTTGCTTAAGAGGGAGCGTCGGTAGCCCGATTGACGACTGTCTGACCACGGTCGAATATACGTAGCAGCAAACATGCAGAAGTATCAGTGAATAGTTTCACGCATTGCACTAATATCAAACATTTCCTTAGTAAATGAGGGCACTCATGAGGAATTTTAAAATGGATATGATCCCGCGGCTGGATACTTGTTTAGTGAAATTCGAACAGTAGTTCTCTGTCCTTCACAAAAAGCTACCCGCTACCACTTGCCTCTGTAATTAAAATCGAAGCATAAACCAAATATCTCAGGTAGTTGAAGGAATGCGCGCATCTGGACTTCAGAAGACATGCGAGATGAGCTACATTCCACGTCTCGAATCTCACAAGTTGTCAGGATGATGCATTGTCCTGGCAACCCAGACCGCATGTCACGTGGTGTCTTGCTTGCAAATCCTGCGTTGAGCAAGCTCGATACTCCGTACAAGTTATTTATTGTCTCTGCTCCGTCTGCACACGTCAAACGTTCTTCCCGGTCTCATCTAGTTGGACATTAGGACAAGATGCCCTGGTCCACAAAGATATGTCAGTTCTGTCGGAAGCGATACGCCAACAAAAGAGCGCTTTATAATCACCTATCTGAGTACATTGGCGCCTGGCGTCTTCCAGCCGATGGGATCCACGATGTCTTGCAGATTGAGCAGGTCATCCGCCGCCTTTATCCTTCGGCCTACGAGGCCGATGAAGATCGCAAATACAGATGCTGGACATGTTGCAAGATAATCACGTCGCGTCGGCGGTTTACTGAGCATGTTATTTATCGGCGCCATTGTGGATTCGACCCTGAATCATGGACGGGAAGAGGCAGTATGAATCTCCGCAAATGGTCCCTCCCTTTTGACGAGGACACTGTTCTTCTCCGTGAAGATCCATTTCCATTTCTCCGTCTCCCCGGGTATATTGTCCCTTTTCCTTGCACTTTCTGTTGCTCACCTGAATTAGCGAGCAGGCGGCTATCTCACTGCTATGTTACATGTTTTGATCGTGTCTCACTGACCTAGGAATACTGCCTGTCCAGAGTTGCGATTTATGGTCTACGGATTTCTTCTCTGTTTCGAAGAGGTTCATTTTGGGGAATACCTGCGCTATACAGACATTGATCCCCACAGAAGTGGGCTCTGGCAGCAGTATAATCCCGACAACAATCTACTGGCCATTATGTCTGTAAGCCGTCAGATTTATGATGAAGCCCGATGGACATTTTACACTGGAAACAGGTTCTCATTCGAATCGTTCGACAACCTCCCCGTTTTCCTGGTCGGAATCGGAGTCGAAAACGCCATGCTCTTGCGATCAGTGAGCTGCAAGGACAGATCGGAAAAGTTCAAAGACTACACAGATCACATTCAATCGTGTCTAAGGCAGGCGGCCACGACGGGAGACACGTCAACTGGGGACCTCTACATCCCGCATATCGAGGACCTGTATCTGAATCTTGCAAACCAAGACGCACTGAGACCTAACATCTTGCCTTTTACTGGAATGATAATCGTCGCTTGCTACGTCCGGACATTACGTCCGTCTCTAGTTACCCGAGTCGAATACGTTTTACGCTCAGCGCCACCCTGCGACAGAATGGCAAAGACACAGTAAATGCCGATCGAATGTATCTGGCTGCATATGAATTATACGTGCAGAGGAACCGAGGAGACTCATAGGCATTAACTGCAGCCTAGGGGTGTATCCACCGGCAACCATCATCTTGTCGGTAAGAATTCCAAGGCCCTGGTCACTCCAAGCCAGGCAGTGTGCAAGTAGAAGCCTATCGGCTAATCGCATTAGACTGACGCATTGGTTAACCCTATGCCCGAGACTGCTTGTTTTTCAGCATGGGTCGGGTTCGGAGTTCCTTATTGCCCGCTCTTTGCTCTCACAAGCTGGATCAGAATTAAATCCAACTTTCTGCCCAAGCTTCCAATGGCTCTCCTCTTCTCAAGATGTGGAATTGCGGTGAAAAGAGGCAGGTATATGGCGTGCATTTGTTGACATGCTTGTTCCGTGAGCCCTCCCCGACCGTCGTCTCGTGCGCTCGAGGATGCCCATGAGCTCATCAAACGGCTTCGGGTGCGTCGTTGATAGAGACCCATTACTCTCTCGGATGTGGTCACGAATCTGGAGCAGCAGTGGTTTAGGTCGGGGTGGATGTTTTGTACGCGCGACGACGGCTCGGGGAGGGGCGAGAGACATGGATCAATAATAAGGATTGGTCTTCTCAATGGACAGTAGAAAATCGGCCCAACAGGCTCGTTCGATCCCGTGGAACGGTATGCGAACGCTATCGTTCCCTATTTTGTCGTCGCCTTGAAATCACAGCCGTCGGGACGAACAGTTATCTAGGCGGTCGGCCTTAGCACGTTGCAGCCGCGTCCGCGTAGTTTCCAACGCGATCGTCCAACCTCGAGCGAGTGCGATCTCGTGGGTCTAAAGCGTTGAAGACCCCAGCGATGGCAAGGTACCTCTCCGTGGTGCTGGGAACTAGTGCTCGTTCATCATCTGGTGCATGAGGAAGCCAAGACCTGCCTTGACTCCTAGTTTACTGTACATACTGTGCATCGGGAAGTTGTCGATGCCGTCGTCGTCTTTCGCCCTGTTGTTTAAGCTCATCCATTCATGTCCATACTGTACAATAGATTATCATTCAACCAGTATTTGGACAAAGTCAAATCGCCGTTATTCTGGCCCGTCATGGCACCTCGGAACAAGAACACCATTAGAAGGTGCGCCAAATCTTCTTCCCGCGTTCTGGTCGATCAAACCATGTAGCCGCGATAATGGGAGGAAATCTGTTTTAGTAGGCCAATAAAATTAGGAGTGTAGGCGTCCTTTGGCAGCCGCACAAACTTGCCAGCTGCTCTGCCACCGCTCAGAGTCCGCCAGTAGAGAACATTTTCCAACTTAAGATAGTCTTGCTTGAGATATGTAAGCACCGTGTGTGGCAGGAGGACTAGATGCCTTGAACGACTGACACACCAAAGTTCCCTCTAAGTACCGAGCCCGCCTCTGCTGACGGAACGGGCAGGGCAGTCATTTTATTGGGATGCGGGGAAGGATCTATGCTTATTTGCCCAGCCCTAAATGTAGAAGCACACGTTCTCGCCCGTTCACCGTAATCGAGATGCGGGCAATTTTACCTTAATCATTTTGCACCACCGCTGCCGTTTCCACCGGTTAAATAAACGCTCATGCACTTACCCGGACATAAGATTTACAGATCTCCTGGCTTCAATTCGGTATTGAACTGGGAGAAAGCTATTCTCGGCGTATGCCATCTGGTTTTTCCCTGCTTCCTTTTGTTTATGTTGTCTTGTTCTGAAGGAGTTTCCGCAGCGGACCTAAACTCAACCATAGGGACGTAAAAAGCAATCAACCAATATTGGGAGTTGCAGGATACTTCGAGCTAACACTGGTATTTCAAAAAGCAAAACCATTCTCAAATCCACCCCCACCTAACTAACCTTTCGCCACCGACCAGGAAGAGTTTTGCCCAGCATGCTCTTGGACTTGCCTCATGAGCTATTACTATTGATATTTCAGAACGTGAGCTTCCTGTATTCACAGGATCCATTAGGTACTAACGATCCATAGCTAAGAGACTGCGATTTATGGGAATTATTCAATACCTCAAATAGTGTACGGCACATGTTGCTAGATGCCTCTTCCAACATGTCGAAATCGATTACCCACCATCCAACTCTCCCGAGTCCCTGAATGGAAAGCCTCTGCCAGCAACAAGAATATTCCAGCTTCTAGGCCAATGGCTACCATTTATTCAAGATATACGCATATTCTGCTATCGAGCTGTGGAGCCCTGCGTGCTAAACCTACTGAGTCGATAGCCTAACATACGGCGAGGTTGGTAAGGAAGGCTTTCAGATCTTCGAGGATCACTTTTTCAACACCAGGAGTTTTAATGACTGACAACTCAATAGTATTGACGCAGAAAGAAGCGACGAGATCTCATATAGCGTCAAAGAACAGCTGGCTGATCAACCTGACCTTCGAGAATTGTTCCATTCCAAGAGTGTTCCCAGCTCCTGGCCGGTACACCTTCCTTTCCACCTCCGCAATGGTCCCCGTCCGCCGAGCTCTCGTTCCAGGTGACACATCGGGTCCTGGTGGTAATATTAGTGCCTTCACAGTGCACACCCACCGCCTTCGGCTTACGGGTGCTACGGCGGACGGATATGGCCAAATGATCAAAACTGTTGAAAACCAGGATGCCTAAGGCACCTTCAGGTATCCTAGTCCTGAAGCCATCTGACATATCACACGCAAGGGCTGGGGGGGTAAAGGACACGTAGACATAAGGAAGCGTTTATCTACGCTTTCTCTCCTAGATAGACGAACATACTCACCATGCGATGCTAGATCGCACCGATAGTTTCAATATACTATCCAGTCACCGCTATCCTAGCACCTCACGACATAGCTTCTTCCCCTATCTTCCCCGAGATTCTCAACAAAACTAAATTTCTAATTATATTGCCGGCAGAATCTACCACCACACCTAGGTGAGAAATTTTGGCATATCAGGTGGCTTGCTTGGTTTCACCTTCCGGTTACTAGTCCTAAGCACCGCATAGAGGTGCAAGCCATGCTTAGGTGCCGTACACAGGGCCCGTACGGCTGGGACATGCTGGTGATGGTTCTGGTGCAGGGAAACATGTACAAAAAAAATCACTTACTTTAAAGAATAATCGGGTTCTCAACCCCTCTCCCTCCTCCGGGTCCAAGTTAATTGGATTCCCGGCACCCCTTCATCCGGATCCAAGTTGACTGGAGATTCAAGCAGTCCCCTGGTTGACCCCCATTTGGCGCAGGTGCTAGGGAGACCATGTCTAACATCTTGCCACAGCCCATCACGTACGGAGCACTGACTGGCTCTGTCAGGCCATTTACAGTTGGCGCATGCTCCACCGAAGGCGCCTGTTACATGGCGACTTTCAGGAAATGGGTATCTACCTTGTACGGTGCGGCAACGCGTACAAGGCTGAGCCAACCTTATTCCACGTGACTGAATGAGCAGGGCGTTGATGTAGGAGGGCCGGTGTTGCTTTATTTGCCGTGCTATTATCTACCGCGTATAAAAGTCACAGATGCACCATTCTGTGCCAGCAACTGCCTTCCTTCACAGTATGTACGAACGGTGCCAGCATTTCCTCCCACAGGGAGGAGGATCTGGCCAGGGGTGTGCTGCCAGAAGCTGGGAAAATCATCTAGCTGCTCCTCCACAGGAGCTGGAGATGGATCTAGATCGATTACAGGAGGGAGAGAAGCGTGGAGACGCGGAGACGGTTCTGATTCTTGTACGCAGGAAAATGTTAGCATGTCCTCTATAAAGCTATGAAATTGCCTGATCCTCCTGTACGCCATTGATGGTGGTGGTGGTGGTTGAGTGAAGAGGAGAAAAACAAGAAGAGAGGTAAAAACTGTTCACCAGTGAATAAATAAAAATATAGATACAACTAAGCAACCTCTTCTACTTTACTTTATATATATAAAGATTAACCAACTGAATAAATTGACTGGCTAACTAATCAAATCTCCAAATTAAAGACCGTACGGCAAAGGACCGTGCTCCCTTATACGATCCTTTCCTCCTCATCCAATCACCATTATTCCTCCGCGTACGAATACCAGGACGCTCAGGTTGGGATGTTGCTGATCGCTTTTGCTGGGATAAAGACTGCTTGGAAAGTCGTACAGAGGAACGCCGTATGGAAGAAGGCTGCAGAGAGGAATGCCGCGTGGAAGAAGGCTGCAGAGAGGAATTCCGTGTGGAAGGAGACTCTGAATCTGCTTGTACAGCAGGCAAAGGAGGAGAAAATAGAGAAGGAGATGGTGATATTGCTGGTACAAAGAGATCTAGGTATCTCAAAAGGTCCTCATTCCATTTCCACTGGTTCCTTTTACTATAGCCTTGGCTCATTTGCAAGTAGGCTGCGTACGAAGAATACAACATACACAGTATACTCTTGCTTAGAGTCTGGAACCAACCTGCAGTAATTGCCCAATGTCTGGCCCAATCTGCACTTTTGTCAAGTAGATTGCATGCTTATTTTGAAGCCCGGTGGCTAGGTGTAAGTCATCATTGGGATCGTAAAAATATCGGGAAGAAGAATGCATCCCAGGAAGTAAATCCTCTTTAATAAACTCCTGGATGTATCTTATCCATCGATTGGGCAGCCTAGCTTTAATTGTTCTTTAAAAGTTTCTTTCTAAGCCTAAACTTTAAGATAACTTACGTAGATGCTGCCGGCTCGTACGCTGTCTTGGTTCAGGAGGATTCTCAATCACTCCAGATAAAAGCTAACAGTGGCTTTAAAATCCTTTGGCTCCTGATGTTTTCGTGTCTGTACAATTGCAAGTTGTCGGGGATCCTTATCTCCTTGTATACGGCCATAGGATTTAAATCTTGGAGCAGCTTGGGCTGTGGAGAAAGATAGAGCAGAAGAGGTAAAAGGGGGAGAATCAGTAAGATCAATAGGCTTAACTGCACCACGAGTCCTGCAATACTCTCCAGTATGAGGCTGTGGTGCCTTTGAACAAAAGGGAGTTCAGGCTACTGCCATTGTACACTTCGTACGGAGGAATTGAAGAAAAGAATAAAGAAGAAGATAGAATTCTTAAGGAGAGAAGAATGTTCAATATCAGTCTATGTAGTAACCGTGGGAACAAATAATTGTAAACTGGACTAAAGCGACAGTATACTACCGGACGCCACCTTTAGGATGATGGCTCCTAATTAAAGCTCCTATAGGAGGTTCGGATAACCGAAGATGTGGTTGGTAATAAGACTGCATATGTAGATGCACTCTCTCCCGAAATAACAAATAAATCGTACAAAAAGGAGTCATACTCTCAGCTGGAGGAATTGGTGGTGGCTTTTCAGGGTCAAACCCCATCCCCAACAGCTGCGTACGACACCACTGGAGAGTCTCAGAGGGAAGATATTCGTCAAGATCTAGCCATTTATTAGTATAGTTAATAGTAGTATAGAAATACAGCTTACCAAACTCCTTAACATCTTGTTTTAGCTGCCTAAGAGTCTCTGTACAAGGACGTATCCCATACTTTTCTACACCATCAGGAGGATGGGATGATAGTAATTTATGTATGGCTTCCCATATACAACCCAATGCCGTGCAGGCTGTTTCCGAATCCTATGAATATTCCAGTTGTGTCTAAAGGTCAAGACCTCCTGCCGAATCTTAGGCATGTAGACTGCGTACAAGACAATAGAATCTGGTATAGATTCCTTGGAAAAAAAACACCTTCATCTAAAAGCTGTTTTAAAGTACTCCTATTAGAATTAGTTTCCGTACGCAGTTAAAATAAAGGTCAACTTACCCGCCATTTAAAAAGTTGTGCTTTAGTAAGCTGTCCCCACCATGACTCAATTCGCTGGTTCTCAGTACTCCGTCCGTAGATATAGCAGTCCTCTAGAGATAGATCAGGCTCGTACACTTGGCGGAGTTGATAATGGGCATCCCGAAAGATAACTGTTTCTCCTCCAAGGTCTGTACGGAGCTTCCGTGGCATAATTTGCCTCTCCTCAAGAGTATTAAGATACTGCTTGAGGACGCTAACTGCTGTACGAGCTGAAATACCAATATATATCCAGATAATATATCGAGAGTAGGCATCTATTGCAGCATATATCTCAATCCCGTACGGCTCCAGCTTTAGATAGCCATCTGTAGACCATAGCCAATCTGGACCAGGAACAATATAAGCACCACGGCGGCGTTGGAGGTCATTAGCACGGCGATCCAGGTCTTCAGGTGCAAGCGTACGGTATATAGCCCAAAGCCGGTCACTGAAAAAAAATGGAGTAATTAGTACAAATCTCTTGGATAAAGGCATTTAAACATACCGAGCAATAGTGTAACCCCTTGTACGAAGATGCTGAAGAAGAAACTCCCTTCCATAGCCCTTAATCATAGTCTGCCCTATTTCTTGATGGAGTATTTGGATGATCTCATTCTCCTGGAGTTGCTGAGCTACAGGGTCATCTGTCCGGCGTACTAATCCAAGCTCTGTACGGATTCTCCTTAATGTTCTCTCACCGATATCAGTATCCTCAGACTTTAAGACTCTAAGAATCTCCTTATCACTTAGAGCCTGCTCATAAAAGAGCTGAAGAATTCGCTGAAAAAGCCCAGACTCTTGGTCTCTTGTCGTACGTGGTCGATATTTGGTAATCTGCCAGTCTTTGAGACGTCGCCGGACTGTACACTCAGAAACGCTAGTTCCATGTTGTTCATAAAGAAAAGTAGCAATGCTGGAGGGATCATTTTCAGACTGGTAAAGAGAGATAATCTCTTCTTTGTACGGTTAAGATCTGTTATTGGACGAGGCATAGTTTAGTACAATATAATAGAAGACAGGGAAAGGGTTACCACCTTTCTAAGTAGGTCTTGACCATAGGCTAAGGATTATACGGCAGTAAATTGTTGCGGTATAATATACAATGTGATGTGTGACATCTATATGTGACTATGTAATTATGTGACTATGTATGTGAGGAAGAATTAGAATAGTAAGCGGTAAAGCAGGCGGTAGAGGGTCTTACGAGAATTTTAGTTTTGATCATTTGGCCATATCCGTCCGCCGTACGGGTGCACCACACCGTAAACCCAAAATTCCATCCATCTATCTTCTTGACATTATTCCCATCCACCCACTATGCCAAAGGCACCGAGGATAGACGAATCTCGTGTAATAAAGGCCTGTGAAGCCGCCCAGCGCGAAGAAAAACCAAATTTAGCGAAGATCGCACGGGAATATGGCGTTTCGTACGAGACACTACGCGGTCGCATTCGCCGGGGACAACAGGCTCGCAGCGCCCGTATACCTAAAAATAAAGCTCTTGATGAGTATCAGGAGAAAGCTCTGATCCAGTGGATTGTTCGTATGCGCGATTTATATCTCCCTATTACCCCTGAGATGCTCACAGAGTGGGCAAATCGGGCGCTCGTACGCGCTGGTTGGGATCATGAAGTTAGCAAGATGTGGGCGTATCGGTTTGAGAAACGACTTCCAGAACATCTTATATTAGGCCCTGTGATACAAATAACAAAGGATAAAAAGCGCCTTGACGCAGAGAATATTGGATACTGATCTACCAGACTTTTGGACTGCCATTTCGCCGAAGGGATATATTAATGATTTACTTGCTATTAGATGGCTTCAAAAATTTCATGAGGCTACAAAAGATCGGACAAAAAGGGGTGAAAGGCGTGTGTTGATATTTAACGGCCATGAGTCCCATAAAACTGTTGAATTTTTACAACTCTGCGAGGATTACAATATTATTCCTTTTTGTTTTCGGCCTCATACAACTCATATTTACCAGACCCTTGATGGCAAGCCTTGTCTTGCCTATAAACAGTATTTTCGCAAGCAAAATAACTTCATTTCTCAGTGGGGTGGGATACCCGCGCGGAAGGCGGATTTCCTTATAGATATTGTTAGCGTGCGAAACAAGACCTTTAACCAGCGAGTTATTTGCAATTCTTTTAAAGAACGTGGTATATACCCTCCAGATGGCTCTGCTATTATTTAAAAGCTTCAAAATACACTTCCACCTATACCAGAGCTCTCCGCACCCGATCTTCGCGCGTATGGCGAATCAACACCTCCGAATCTCTCTTCTTCTAGAGTGGAAAACACCCCTCCAAGAAGTGCCCAAGACCTTGAAAGGAACCAAAAAAAGCTCTTAAAGATATTTACCACTAAAAGCCTTACACCAAAGCTCCAGCGAGGCCTACAGCGTGCGTTTTACCATCATAAAAGAACAGCAGAGGAGCTTGCTATGATAAGCGATACAGTTAACCAAATAAAAGAGATGCAAGCCCCCCGGAGGCGCCAAATTACCAAGAGAGAGATTACAAAGATCGGAGACTCTGGTATACTCAGTACAAAAGATGCCAATCGATCAATAAAGGTTAGGAGAGAGAAAGAAGCTATACAAGAAAAAAAGAGATTGGATAAGCAGTGGAAAAAATTGTACAGCCAACCGCCACCCAGGGCGCCTACGGATGAGAGTTCTATATTATCAGATGCAGCTATAGCAGCGCAGCAGTGAAATGAGCCTTTTTGGATAGATACTCAGGGTGAAAGTCAATAGATAATGGGAATAGCATCAATTTTGGGTTTACAGTGTGAATTGAGTTTACGGTGTGGTGCACCCCTAAGCCGAAGGCGGTGGGTGTGCACTGTGAAGGCACTAATAGGCTCAATGTGCCAGTTCGGCAGAGGCAAAAATGGAGGCTAAAACATCGTTAAAGTCAATGCCAAAAGAAGCATGGTTTGGAGAGGGAAATTATGTACCCAATAACATTTGTTCTTCAGGGGTTACAAACTTGGGAATGTACAGTATCCTGTTAACCGATGTATCTTTTGAATTGGTTAACTGAGGTAACTATTCTCACTCACCGTTAAACGTTCACCATCCCGCAAACCTTACTCCGTAATTTCAAATCAACTTGGGCTCCAGGTGAGCGTGGGGATTGCATCAGAATGCGCATACTTCCAACCATGTAAGGGATTGCTCTAGCATATTTTTCCAAGTTATGGCTAATGGCCTCGAACCTGTGCTTTGCGTTTGTATTTGTTGTTACTAAAATTTGCGACGTCCGATCCACATGGGCTTGCTAAGTAGTCTGTATAGAGCTTTCTTGCTCCTTTCGTTGTCAACGGAAGATATATCAACACAGACATCTATGATTATCATCTAAAAAGTCATCCCTCGAAGAGCTTCTATCAGATTCTCGGACTTCCTCATCACATTTCTTCGCTAAATGCGGGGGCAAAACCCTGCCAGCGCCTGTGCACTTTGCTCCAAGTTTCACGACCGTTGCAGCATCATCACGAGTGATTTCAAGTCTTTCACACTCAGAGCTTTGTACCAAAGACATTACTTTCTTCAGCAGGTCGCCAAACTTAGCCATAGTTAGTTCCTGAGCTTCCTCCCACCCCTTGACCTGCTCCCATATATCGAGGACTTGGATATCAATAAACATCCCGGCTTTGTGGCGGGCAAGAATAAAATTAGGAATCTGGGCAATCCACAATCAAGCTAATTCTTGACCGAGTGTATCCTCGTCCTTATTTCTAACGGAGCGGGTTTTCAAGTCAAAAATGGGCGACTGTGAAGTGCGCTCACCTCCCGCTGATATTTTGAGCGTTTTTGGTGTCGTTTTTAGACTATTTGGGGGTACACTTGAAATAGCAGCTCTTTGAATAAATGAGAGAAGATTATCTTCCGGCTCTGCTGAATCTCCTCCTGAGCTGCAACTGCCATGGGTCTGTGTTGCCGGAGGTAGATAACCGTCTGCCTCAAAACGGACTAAGTAACTTATACCAGCAAAGTCATACTTCATCACGCTTTGGTGAGACTCAGACCCTCTCACTTCCGCGCCCCAAGTAGTATATGCCTCCGGAAAAGTTGTGATCATACCCATATACGCTTGTATCACCTCGTCCGGGGCATTTACTCTCCCCATGAAAACGGTCCTCCCAACGGCTTCAATGAGCATTCAAAAGGGGTTGGCCTCACCACACAGAAAGCGTAACAAATTCCCGATTGTGCTACCACATGCAACAATATCAGCGCCCTGAAGAGAGAAGTCAGGCTTGCTTGCAAGGATTGTTTGAATCATTGGTTCCATGGAGTAGCTAACGTAGCGAGCAGTATTCTGATCTCGAAAGCACAATCCCGAGTCTTCCTTGAGCTGGGTTGGGGTTGAGAGCGGAGCCCACTTCGGCGGCTCACCTATTCGGCGCAGCATGATTAGCGGCGAGATGTTTTTTGGGAACTTTTTGAAAGGCTGCTTTCTTGCCTGGGATGAGAATATGAGGCTCTCCTCCACTGAGCCAGTTGTAAGACGCCAAATATTGGCTGTTTGTGATTTGGGCAGTGATATCACCCTTCTCTGCTTGGTCATTTGGGTAAACCGTTGCAAGAACCTCGCCATGTAGGGGGGGGGAGCTTGCTGTACGTTTTGCCTTTACCCCTGTTGCATAATATTCCTTCGACAGGTACTGCTATATCCTCTACCACGTCCCCGGAAAGTAAATGATTGAACTGTGAGAGAATAAGCAGATATCCTTAGGGTGCAGAATGTGATTAGATAGGGTAGGAAAAGTGTCTAGTTAATGGGAGTTGAATGGCAATTAAAGAGGAGAGCATAGAGCCAACCTCTCATAATTTGGTAGTCACATAACACCTTTTTGAAGGTCCGGGAACCTGCATTGGCCCCCCTCATTGACGTGGCATGAAGTATGAGCATGCTAAATCCCATCAAACCAGCCCCTTCCATGGAAGACCTTACTCGGCTGTCCAGTTATAATTCTTGCAATTCCGTGTACTACGTCCGTGCAGGGTCAAGCAGCTTTGGCGGTGTTTCTCTCCACTATTGTACTTTTGTCGGTTGAAGAGTTTATATATGCCTAGGTAAAAAGCCCTGCTCTTACAAGAAATGACTATTTCTATATGATCAGTCACGTTCAAAGTCCATTTTCAAAGTTTTGACCCACAAACTCTCAAACAGGATTGACTGCGGTTAGAACATGGTCGGATCGCTTGGCCAAGTATCTTCAGGATGTTATAACTGGAAAGCAGACAGTTTAGAATATCAACGACTTTAAAAAGTTTGTTGAGGCGATTTTGGACCAGCATGGCTATTCTGTTACTGTCGAGCGTCTCATGGCCAGCAACGGCGCTTTGACCTCCCTTCAGAAGTAACTTCGATTTAGCACGACGGCTGACTTCATTAACCAATACACGGCAAAGTTATTGAAATACTTGAGCGATCCGGGAATCAAAAGCCTGTGTAACGGACAGTTTCTTGAGCGAATTATCGTCATTATACTCGAGTCGCGTACTCTTTGGAATACTTGGATGGAAGCGTTTGCATCCCGAATGCTGGACAACATGGCAACGTATGCGTTGACATGGATCATGACGGAATTACTAGCCCTATCGAGCTCCAGTGGAGTGCATGTATTGAAGACGCGCAAGCGATGGTGAACGATGGTCACTGTTTCGCTCTCCCTCTACAGAGCTGCGCCAGCTCGGGCATAAGCAAGCACTTCCTGCATGTAAAATCTTCCGGAAGCACGATCGACGCGTCCTCATTCACAGCGGGAGGTCGTCATGATAACGACTTTGTGACTTCCGAAATGTTGCCGTTTTTCCGACCTCAGATGAATTTAGCTGTACTGACAAGCCATTCTTTCGTCGCGCCGAGGATATCGCGGAACTTCCGGGAGACCAACGGGTAGCTGCCTACCTTGACAACCAATTTTGCCTTTTGAGAGAGGATATGCTTTCAGAAATACACGGTGATGTCCATATCTCAAACGGGAGGAAAAAGGAGCGATATCGACATTCCGCTTGAGGCATCTGTCTGTTGCTCGGCTCTCCTGCGGCGGAGACAATGAAATGCAACTTCATACTTGCTGTCTGGGCGTGAGATATAAGTCAGGCCTCCAGAACTTCAGCCAACTTTTAAAGGAAGAACGCAAAATCTACTTGAAAGAAAGCCGGAACTGTGTGAAGCATCAAGCTTCTGGGTGCTTGATCCGGGGTGCTCAAATTGTGGTATTCGACAATAGAAAGAGATACAGATGCTCTTGTTGCTGAACACCTGATAGTGATGCTCCGGATTGCTGGAGATGAGGCACTCAAGAAAACTCTATTTTATCTTAAGCTATACAGTGACGTAGATTTTATCCTCGTGGAAACGCCCATGTTTGCCCGAACGCATCTTGAAGTGCCTACGAGAGACAGTAGATCTTCCCTTGGCAGAGGAATTATTCTTGTATCAGAAGGGTCAGTGGGTGAAAGAATCGGACTTAGTTCCTCTGGACGTGCTCGAGGATATCAAGGAAAATGGCAATGGCAATATTCGAAGCATTCTGGAAACTCCAGAATCGGTGAAAGTAGACCCCTCACAGCTCGAGTCACTGATTACAGGGTTGACTCAGAGAGTCAGTCTTATACAAGGTCCTCCAGGTATTGTAGTGGAGGAACTAGGGGGATTGGCACGCGACAGTTGTATGGATGACTATTATTTTAAGTCCTCGTTCAAACAGGAAAAAGACAAGCAACCACCTTCTTGCAGATCACGGAGCGCAGTTGCGTAAAGGGAATGTTGTCTTCTCTCCTACCAGGAACTCGTGGGCTCAGGGCCCACAACTTTCGAACTGTCTAAGAGTGTCTCCTTGACCTAATCCTTCGGAGTCCTACCATTTCCCTTTCATTTACCATCTAGGGAAGTATAGTAGTTATCGTGGTCTAGGAAATCAATGATATATCGTTCCCTATATTAGGCAATTGGTTGCGTGAAGCTGTTCAATGAGCTTACTGCCTTCTTCCCCTGAGTCACATCACATTCCAAAATTTAAACAGATAAATCACAGATCAGATACCATCCATTATCTGATCTGCAGATATCTGTGCCGAGCTCTAAACTGTTTCTATTTTAGAAGATCCGCTTAACTCGGACGCAGCTAAGATGGAAAAGATTGGGTGTTTTTCCGGAAAAAGATGCTAGCGGATTCATTGTGCCCACAAGAGTGTGTAGGTATGGGAATAAGTACTATACAGCTGATTGTATGGATATTATCTGTAGGCAGTGTTTAGATTAGGGCGCCAGCGGACATACTCTTTGCGATGGTTTTAGCATTCATTGACTGCGACCTTATCCTCTGCCAAAGGAGTGGCCATATTATTAATATTAGTTAATTACAAGCCACGCATACATAGTCTAAATCTGTATCATTAAAGCACTGTACAGACCGTACATCTCACTTCATTTAATCTGACACTTCTAATAGGCACTTCTGAAATCAGATTATTACTGTCCTCCCAACATACTAGGAAAGTAAATGAGGCGGCAAAACTGCCATCTTATATTGTTAAACACAGATGTAGTACACAGCATAAACCAAACAACTAGCCTCTGCATTTGCATAAAGGCATGGGGAAAACCTGGTAACAGTACTAGGAAAAAACCCACACCAAGGCTTACAAGAAACACAACAGACATATCAAGCAATTGACCATAGACAAAACAGCCAGATGTAGGTGTCTTTGTTAATTAGTTTCTTATGGTATTAATCTGCACGTGAAATAAGGACAACATACAGTGTTGAACTACCCTGCTTTTGCTGAAGCCAACTTCGATCCCATTTAGTTGCTCAATTAGACAGGGTGCAGAGGTTAGCAGGAAAAAAAAGGAGATAGCAGAGAACAACCGGAGGCTACTGACCTATATGTTGAAATATTGGCCTCGCTAAGCCGGAATCGGTAGCTGTATGTCGCTACTGCTCCCATGTTAATAAAGCTGGGGCAAGCATATTGCTCTAATATCTATATCCACAGAATAATTATCATGACTTACCAGCCCTTCGTGACCAATCTAGGTCGGGTTAGTAGCAGTCACAGTTGCATCTTTAATAGGATTTAACCATGACCACTTACAGCCTATGTCCCATTAAATTAAGAATAGATTAGTTTTTATATATGATTTAACCACTTACACTCTAATGGCAGATACCAAGTGTATGTCAGCGTTATTCCATATATTAATATATTATATTTTGAGCCACTTACCGTCTGCATGATATTCGTATTGTAATTAGTAACATGCGTGGTTGTAGAATTACCTAATTAGAGCCACTTACAGGCTATATTCCATTTAACCGATTGTATATTATGAGTTCTGCTTCCAATATCCAAGTTTGGGGCCACTTGCCGTCTATACTGACATATTAATAACCCATCTCGCTGTGGTGTATGTCATTCGTTACTTACCGGCTGTATTTGGTTATCCAGTCTACTTCAACAAAATTTTTTCTTCCTAATAACTTGTAGGTACCACTTACACACTATATCCCGCCCAGTTAATATCAATTCACAGCTAATCCATGCTTATTGTTTGCATCGATTAGAACCACTTACAACCTATATCTCATTTAGCCGAGTTTGTGGTTAGGAACACTTGTAGCTAGAACACAACGCTTTAGATCTCTTACACTCTATATATATGCATCCAACAAATATTAGTGGCCTCTCCCGTGAAGTAACATATTGACAATAATAACCTACAGTCTGCAAACATGGGTTAGCAATTCGCAATGTCTGGGATATATTAACCTAGGCCACTTACACACTGTGTTCCACCCAGCAGATATTAGTCATTAATTGCCTAGGCCATAGTAGCATATAGGCAAGACACACTCACATCCTATCCCATTCGGCTGGGTAAGTAACACTCAGGCACAACGAAACCGCGACCGGGGATTTCTTACGTTCTATGTCGTCCACCCGTCGCGGGTTAATAATACTGATGTAATGGCATATTACTTAGAGTCACTTACTCGCTTAAGTGTCCAACGAACATGTGTTAGTAATTGTCCCTCCAGAATACTATTAGGCAGTGCCGGTTACCCCCTATAAAATTCCCATCATAGTCAGCAGTATACTTTGCGACGTAATTCCTGCAGCCCGTGCTAAGTATAGCTACTTACCATCTATATATTGTGCATCCGAAATAAGTAAGTGACACTGTGAAGCTTTATACTCCTAACAGCCACTTACAACCTATAAGCAATATAATCATCATGGCTTAGTAGTATTTTTAGTTCCACACGCTGTAGTGAGTAAACTTACACCCTATACCCATGCATCCAACGTTGGTTAGTAATATTCCCATCAGCACAGGCCAGAGATACTCACGTTCTATATTTTATTCAATGACAGCGGGTGAGTAATTATTTAATAAGCTTGTCTATTATAGTACTTACGATCTGTAAGTCCATCCAACCGACACTGGTCAGCACATAGTTAATTACTGTAGCTAAGCAGACCAACTTACGCACTATATTCTTGAAGTTAGCAGCATACTAAGGATAATTTAATTAGTAACTACTTACATCCTGTATCCCAATAGGCCGGATTAATTAGAAATATCTTTGGCCCTGCTAATATACCATCTAGAGCACTTACAACCTGTATTATGGCCAAACGAATAAGGTCAGAGCCATTCACACTATAAACAATATCGCTTCAGGGGGTGACTTACACACTGCATTTTATTCGATCCAATTTAGCGTATTTCGGTGCTGTTATTACAGTGGATAATTGCACTCACTCTCTGCACCCGTACATTACAAATCAGCTACACGCAATAACCGTTCTTTAGAAATGGGGTTACATACAACCTATACCTCCCTCAATCCGCCGAGATTAGCCTGTGTTTCCGTTGATATAACTAGATAGAATCACATACCAGCTATAATCCAGAGAGTCAGAGTATATTAATATTAAAGCCAATATAAGACATACTATGGCCAAAGTCACTCACACTCTGAGTCCGCGGGTCAGCTATGTTCTCTATTATAATTCAGTAGTAGCTGTTTTCTCCGCAGGACACGCTCTCGTGGGAGACATACAGGCTATAGTTATCAAGTGTAGAGCCGATATAGTAGCCATTTTATGCTTATAGTATTTAGCCAGAATATCTCACAATCTATCGCACCCACCCGCATAGATTAGCAAGCCTTTAGCATTAGTATCAGCAGAGCTACTTACATTCTGTTGTTATACAATCGCGAATATTAGCAACTAATCTGACTTTATCCTATTCTAGATCACATACTGTCTGTATTCAAGGAGACAACATAGCTTAGCAAGACATAAGGTTATGTTGATCTAGAAATTATATTATAATCACTTACAACCTGCATATTAGGCAAAGCGAATCAGCCAACAATATTCTTGAACTTCTTTGTACCCCGGCCTAGTAAGCAAGCATACCTTCTACACCCGCTCATCCAGTACAGATTAGTGCCTTAATTTCGATAATACTTTAATACCACTTACGGCCTAGGATATGATGGCAATTAGTAGCTGTCTTTAAGCTGTTATGTATTGGAATTCAAACACATACCTCCTTTATTTAATGCAGGCTTGGATTAGCCGACGGTCATGGTTAATATATTTCGGCTGCTTACAAGCTTTTTGTCGGTCAGTTCGCAGACTGCAGGGCTAACCCCATGGGTATTATATCGCATATTTAAAACCTACATTCTATTTTATAGCAGATTAATTTGTCTTAGCACAATTCCTGGTCTGAAAATACTCCTACTTACGCTCTATATCCCGAACCTCCCACGTCAGTAGTTACTTTTACATGGACGTTTTTTCATATTTGGAGCTACTTACCATCTGTATATTATATTAGTACCAGTGCTACCGGTCAGCACTGTTATCAGTC